ACCAGGCACAGAACTTGGTATGTGGTAGACATCTGATATCTATGAATGAGGCACATACTATTATGATGCCTATTTTAGAGATGGGCAAACCGAGGCTCAGAGGAGGTGCCTTGACTTGCCCAAGACTCCACAACGGAGCTGGGATTTGAACCCAGGTCTCCTCTGATTCCAAAGCCCTTGCACTTTCTGCTGCACCACACTGCAGAGTGCTGGGTGGAGAAATGAAGTGTTCGCTTCCTCCGCTGTAGTGTGGACTAGCTGGTTTTGATGTTCAAAGGAAACTCACGATGGGGCTAGGTGGGAACATGGCTGGGCTGATAAATGGTCGGTCTGTCTGCAAACCTGCCTAATTGAGAGGTGGGCCCATCTGAGCACTTTTCTCCCTCCTTCTAAAGCCTTCTAAGGCTTCCCACTGCCTACAGGATAAAGTTCCTCTTCTTCATGTGGCATTCAAGGTCCTTTGCAGCCTATCTCCAAGTGCCCTCTTGGCCCTATCATGAGCTTGTCCAGCTGGTCTCCCTGCTCCCAAACTTAACCTCCTGGCTCCATGATTCTGTCCCTGCCACCTCCCCTCCCCATCACTCCAACCTGGGGCACACTCTCCCCATTCCAAGCCTTGTCCCCTTCGTCCCCCTGCAGGGGCCTCTTGGGGCAAACCTCTGTCACTCCCCTTCCTGGTGCATAAACTACTCACCCCTCCTTGAAGCTCCTGAAGCCCCTGCCTCAGCCCAAGCCCACGTGTACCTGGACCTGTCACTGTATTCGTTCACACAGGCCCAGCCTTCCCATTGGCCCATGTCTGAGGCCATCATCTCTGTGGCCAGTGCACAGCGGAGAGCACTGCACAAGTTTAGGAACCGCAGTAACCACAAGGAGAGTAAGAAGCAGGAGTGAAATGGCAAAAGGCTGGATTCAGGAAGTGGTCAGACATGGGTCAAACCCTGGTGCTTCCCTTTTTGAGCTGGGTGGCCTTGGGAAGTCATTTTCCCTCTCTGACTCTCAGTTTCTTCATCTGTCAAATGAGTACAATACCCTCCAAAGGGAAATGAAGTAACATGAGGCACCTTCTACTATCTCCAGTGCAAAGGCTCAGAAAAATCTCTCTGTACCATCTGCTTTCCTGTAATTTCCAGGCACTCATTGTGTCCTGCAAACCATGCTAGGCAGAGTCTCCCAGGATGCCACTTCATGTCTTCATTTCCAGGGATGCACCAAGCTTGTTCCTGCCTCAGGGCCATTCTACTTGCTGTTCCCTGTACCTGGAATGATTTCTCTCACATTTTTGTATGGATGACTCCCCATCATTCTGATCTCAGCTCTTGTGTCACATCCCTGACTATACAATTCAAAGTGGCCCTCTGTGGTCCCAATCCCTCCTTATCCTATCACTCTGTCTATTTTCTTCATAGTGCTTTCAGCAATTATTCCATTTAACCATTTGCTGTCTGTCTTCCTGCAGGAGAAGGCAAACTCCATGTGGGCAGGGATCGTGTTTTATCATCTCTGCTTCCTCACTGCACAGAACAGTGCCGGGCATAACTCAATGCCGAGTTGCTGCCTGAGCCTGTGACCCTGAGAACGCAGGCGCTGCCCCAATGGAACCCTTAGAGCAAGCTGGGCTCTGGCAGCACACATGGCCTGCAAGGACCCCTTCTCTGTCTCCCATAGCCCCTCACTGGCCTCCCGTTTCCATTTTTGTACCCCACAGTCTGGAAGCTCCACCCCAGTTCTGTCCTTGGCTGAGTCATCTTGGTGTCCCCAGGCCTGGCTCAGGGCCTGGCACGGAGGAGGAGCTGGGTAAATGTTTGTGGTGTTAAATTGGACCGGTCTCAAGCTCCTCACTGCCTCCACATCTGAGGAGCCCCAGGGAAGGGGCCGGCAAAGAGAGATGAAAGAAGGTGAGAAGCAGGTTTCAAAGTTGGCCCTTTCAGTGCAGATAAAAGCAGGAGGGAAGGGAGCCAAAGCAGGGAGGAGGGAGAGGACTGAGAGGGGGTGTGGAGAGTGGAATTGGAGAAGAGGGGAGCTGGCAGACGGGAGGACTGACCTGGGGCCAAGGGCTCGCCTCCCGCTCCGTGTTCTTACCCCTCTGGGAAAGCCTGCCGAATCCTCCTCCCCTCCCTGGGCCTCAGCTCCCTGACAAACAGGGGTGACAATGCCCTTCCTGGAGAGGTCTGGGCCCAGGCCAGAGGCCAAGGGGGATGTTCAGAGACTGTGCCACCAGCCCAGGTGGAAGGGAGTAGAGGAGTTCAGAGGCAGTGGCAGGATGGCATTGGCAGTGAGTGTAGTAAAAGCAGCGTGGACATTCTTGGCTTCAGGACAGAGTCTGAGCTCCTCGGCCTGCCTCTGAGGCCCTGTTAGACTTCACTTTTGTGCCTCATCTCCCCCAGCCCCCTATAGCGATCAGGGTCTGCTCTTCTCTAGGCACACCTACCACTCCTCTGCCTGTATACTTCTGCACAAGCTGTTCCTCTGTCTGGAATGTGCCTCTCCTCATATTTACACCGTACCCAGATACCTAGCTCAGGTCAATTCCTGCCTCCTTCAGAAGCCTTCCCAGACCCCTGGGGCTATCTCCCAGTCTGAGAGTCCATGAACAGTTAAGCAGGATAGCATCTGTGTGTCTCACCTAGGGCTGCCATGTAATGTTGCACAGGCTGTGCACTGCACAATCCTGATAGCACCATTCAGACAGACAATGATGGGGACGTTGCCCTCTGGAGTTACACAATGCAGAGGTCCTCAAATAAACTTTCCCTCCCCCTCTCCTCAATGCCCAGCACAGGGCTAGGCTCATAGTCAGCTCAGGGGTCACTCACTGACTAGGTACAGGGGTTTTGGGAATGAGTCAGGGAGCCCCAATGCCTCCTTCCCATCCCTCTCACACTGGCCATCCCCCCAGCCCCTAACCTCCTCCTCTGGATCAGTTTCTTCTACAGCCTTTCCTCCCTCCTCTTCTATTTGAACATCTTCCAACCTAGGCTACTGTCAGAGACTCCCATCACCTGCAGCTCCAAGACCCTTCCAGGGACCCCAGCTGCCCCATCCCTGCTCCGCCTCTGTCTTGCCTGTGGCTGTGTCTATTTCTTCCCTTTTCTGGCTTCCTCTCCAAGGTGCCCTTCTCTATTTACACATTGCCGGGTCAGTCCCTCTTGTCCTCTTTTTATGGGCTTTTCTTTCTCTCCAGTCTCTTCTTCTCATTGTTGGTCTCTCTACATCTCTGTGAGTCTGTTTTTCTGCCTCTTTTCTCAATCATCATTTTTATTTTTTAGTTTATTTTAATTAATTAATTTATTTATTTATTTTGAGACAGAGTTTTGCTCTTGTCGCCCAGGCTGGAGTGCAATGGCGCAATCTTGGCTCACTGCAACCTCTGCCTCCGGGTTCAAGTGATTCTCCTGCCTCAGCCTCCAGAGTAGCTGGGACTACAGGAGTGCGCTACCACACCCTGCTAATTTTGTATTTTTAGTAGAGATGGGGTTTCACCATGTTGGTCAGGCTGGTCTCAAACTCCTGACCTCATGTGATCCACCCGCCTCAGCCTCCCAAAGTGCTGAGACTACAGGCATGAGCCACCACGCCTGGCCTCTATTTTTACATATCATTAATTCACCACATATTCAGCACTTGTTCACTGAGTACTAAGGCCTGGGCTAGGCCCTGCGGGTACAGCAGTGAACAAATACACGTAAATCCCTACCCTCAGACAGCTTACCTTTCAGTAGGAGAGACAAACAAGGTAATCAGAAAAGCAGCGTGTCAGATGATGATGAAAGGTAATAAGGAAGCAGCAGAGGAAGACAGGGGATAGGAAGTATCAGGGCTAGGGGTTGGGGTGGAGTTGAAATTTTAGGAAGAGTGGTCAGAGAAGGTCTCACTGAGAAGATGACTTTTGAGCAAAGACCTGGAGGAAGTGAGAGAGCAAACTATGGGGGCTATTAGGGCGAGAACATTCTAGGCCGAGGGATCCGCTGTAGCACAAGCCCAGAGTGCAGGTGAGCTTGGTGTGTTTGCAGGGCTGTGAGGGGGCCAGTGTGGCTGCAGCAGAGTGGACTGGAAAGGAGTGGGAGGTGTGGTCTGAGAGGTTCAGGGAGGCCAGAGCTGTCATTGTCAGGGTTTGGGCTTTTATTCTGAGCCTTGTAGGTATCTTTGGAGGGCTTGGGCAGAGCAGGGCCAGGCTCTGGTTCGCCTTTGAGCAGGATCAGGCTGGCTCCTGCAACAATTCTAGGTTAAAGAGGGGTGAGGACAGAATCAGGGACACCAGTGAGGAGGCAACTGCAATACTCCAGGCGAGAGAAATGGTGGCCTGGACCGAGGTGGTAGCAGCAGAGGTGGTGAGAAGTGGTCAGATTCTGGATGAATTTTTAAGGTAGAGACAGCAGAATTCGCTAATGGATTGAAGGGAGGCATGAGAGAATGAGAGGAGGCAAGGATGTCTCCAACATTTTTGACCTGAACAACTGGAAGGATGGAGCTGTCATTCCCAAGATGGAGATGACGGCAGGCAAACTGGTGTTTGGGTTTTTTATTTCCTTTGGTGGAGAGACCAGGAACCCAGTTCTGAACCTAAGTTTGAGGTGTCTAGCAGAACACCAAGGGAGATGATGAGAGAGAAGTGGGGTGCAGAGAGAAGACTGGGGGAGTCGTGGGCACAGGGATGGCCCAGTCGAGAGACCAGGGAGCCAGTGTGGCTGCAGCCAGCAGCGCGGAGGCCCTGCCAGTGCAGTGCCCGCCTCTGTGTCTGTCCCTCCTCGTTCTCTGCCTCATTGGCCTGGCTCCCCTGCCTCTCTCATTGACTGTTCTCACATCTGCTTCCTTGGCCCTTTCGCTCCGTGCCTGTTTCTCTCCATCCCTGTGCGCCTCTCTCCGCGCCTCCCTCCCCCACGCAGCCCCCTCCTTCGGCCCTCCCCGCCCCAGCCCTCCTCCCCTCTGCCCGCAGTCTGTCTGCGGGGGCGATGGCGGGATAGCAGGCAGCAGGCGTCGGCCCCGGGCGGGGGTCTCACCGGACGGGCCGGTTGGCGGCGTCGGGGTCCCGCGCCGTCACCACGCCGACCAGGGAGCCCACCTGCGCGTCCTCCTGCACCTCCAGGAGGCGGGAGGGTGGCCGGAACTCGGGGGGCTCGTCCACGTCGGTCACGGCCACGCGCACGATCGCCTGGTCGCGGAACGTGCCCAGGTCGGCGAAGCGGGGGTCCACGAACTTGTTGAGGGCCTCCAGGATCACGGTGTGCACGGGCTGGGATTCGAAGTCCAGGCGCTGGGGGAGGGAGCAGAGGGCCGGTTAGTGGGTGGGGTCTGGTGGACACTGAGGCCTTCACGAGGGAGGCCAAGGTCACACGTTGTCTCAGCAGGGGCGGCAGGGATGTTTGGGCTGCATTGCAGAACTGACCCAGACCCACTCGGTGGGTTACAGGTGGAGAAACTGAGGCTCCTCCAGGACAGTCTTGCCTCAGGACACAGCCGCTCCAGGCTACCGCGCTGAGCACCCAAACTTCCTGCCTTCCAGTGCAGTGTTGGCATATTTCATTGGTTTATTTCACCAATACAAAGCACCTACTGTGTGCCAGTGCTTTAAATATATTAACTCAACTTGACATCAACCCTAAGAGGCTTGTATTCTTATGATCGGATTTTACACATGAGGAAATCCAGGCCCAGAAAGGCTCAGTAACTTGCCGGAGTTACTGAGCAGTGAGTCACTAGCAGAGCCAGGATTCCCTGGTATGCCGGAGTTAGCAACTAATGTGAGTTGAGCCCGATAAGCCGGGCTGCCTTAGAGCTTTCCTCTGAGATCTGGTTAAATCCATGCTGAGCCTGTGCTTCTTATCGGGGGGTGCTAATGGGTGACCCTCTGATGAATGAGCTCCGTGGCTGTGTGTTAGCTCTGGCCTTCTAAAGACACTGCCTATAGCAAAGAGAAATAGCCATGGTGGAGCTGCAGGGACCTCAGTTGCATGGTGGGGGAGCAATCTGATTGGCAAGAGTGACCTTCCAGGAGACCCACAGCAGGTGCCTGCCCTGTGTATGGGGTCCACCCATTGCTCTCAGAATCCCCCACCCCCGACTTCTCCAGCAGCAAAAACATCCCTGTCCTGCCTCCAGCCTGTTGCCTGGGAAATCAGGATGCAGGGAGGCAGGCGGTGGCCTGGCCTAGGAGTGAGCGATGGACTCTGGAGCCAGGCCATCAGTCTGCTCCCTGAGCCATCACTGACTCTGCAGAGACACCCTAGGCGCCACTGCTGGAGCAGGCAGCGGGAGGGGGCCTAAGAGTTGGGGGTGGGGGAGATTAAGCAGCCCAGGGGATGAGAGCAAATGCTGTGCTGGAGTCCCCAGGCTAAGTTTGGAGCCTGATTCTGCCGCTCTGTGAAGCTGGGTTTCTCTGGGCCTCCAATTCTCCATCTGTAAAATGGGCCCATCTAACAGTTAAGGACAAATGGAGATCAAAAGAATGAAAATCACCAGTGCTTAAAAAAGGGAGATTCTAAAGCTGGACCCCCTGGGCCTGTATCCCTACCGAACGATGCTAGATGCATGGTCTTGGGAAAGTTACTGAACTTCTCGGGGCCTCGGTTTCTCATCTATAAAATGAACGATAACAGTATCTCAGAGGGTTGATGAAAGGATCAAATGAGTTAATATGCAGAAAGTAGTTGAAGGGCACCTGGCACGAGGCAAGCACATTATCACAAGTAGTAGCTATTATATTATTATCCTCTGAGAGGGAGTTGAAGGAACTGGGCGTTTTCTGTATCCTCAAGCCCTCAATGCCAGGTAAAGAGCGGGTCATTATGTGCTTGCTGAGTGAAAGAAGGACTGTTGAGGGCAGATATTTCTGGAGGTCCTGGAAGGCAGAGCTCAGGCTGATAGGCACAGATTTAAGGAGACCGATGCCAGCTGAATGGGAGGAAGAAGAACTGGACAGTGGCAGAAAGTGAGCATTCTGTCCCTGGAGAGATACAAACAAAGGCCTATGACCACTTTTGGGCTCGTGCAGGGGACTCAGACCTCCCATGGGAGAGTGGGGTTGGAGCGGGTGGTCTTAATGGGCTTTGCAGCCCTGAGTTGCCAAGCCCCTGACCAAGTCCTGGAAGATGGATTTTTGGCTCTTTATTTGAACTCCCTAGGGACTGCTGAGTTTGCAGTTTTAGTTTCTGGTTCCTGGGCCAGCCAGTGGGCAAGGAAGGCTGTTAGACTCAGGAAGGAAAGAGCTTTGGAGTCTCCAGACCTGGGTTCAAATCTCTACTATGTACCTTACAGGTGTCACCTTGGGCAAGCCCCTTGACCTCTCTGAGCCTCTATTTTCTTAGTTGTAAAAATGAGGATAGTGGGAAACTTCAGAGGGAAACACGAAGATTAAAGGGAATGAGGAGTGTGAAGAGCCTGGCAAGGATGTGAAGCACACATCAGAGTGTTTGAGGGTGTGGATTCCCATCTGGATTGAACCCCGGCTCTGACAACCAGCTGTGCACCCTCAGACAGGTCACTTCACCTCTGTATGCCTGGTTTGCAAAAGAAGAATGATACCATCAGTGTTTTTCCAGGTTGGTCCTGGGCCTCTAGAGAGAACTAATCCATTGAGTGGAGTGAGATGGGGGTATTTGGCTGCCCAGAGGCCTCCCTGATCCTCCCGCCCCTGAGGTCTGCCTCCCCCATCCCTCCTGAGGCAGCTGCACCTTCTGCACTACGATGATGGCCTCCTGAGTATCGCTGTCTGTGGTGACCTTGAACACATCGCCGCCGCTGCCGCTCTCCTCCTTAAGGTGGTAAGTCATGTCCGTGTTCTCTCCCACGTCTGAGTCCTCAGCCTTCACACGTCCCACGGCCGTTCCGATGGGGGCTGACTCCTGGATGCTGAACTGGTACATCTCTGTGGGGAACACGGCCATGAGCAGGGATGAAGGCAGCCCCTACCCCAGCCTCTGCCAGCAGTGGGGGAGGGGACAAGGGGGCCCAGGTGAGCCTCTATGGAGGACAGTGCTTGAAAGGGGCTCTCAGCTTGGCCAAAGTGGGGGCTGGGAGAGGCATGTCCCTTGCAGGAGTTTGGGTGGCAGTGCAAAGGGAGGTTTTAAATTCTGACCTTTGGTTTTATTCACTGGTTGATTTGGGAAAATGCCTGCAGTTCTTTGGGCCTCAGTTTCCCTACCTAGCCAGTGACAGGGACAGAGGAGCACAGTGATAAAGGCTAAGGCTCTGGAGTCCTAGCTGTGTAACCTTGAGCCTCAGTTTCCTCATCTGTAAAATGGAAATAAATAATGATGGTGCCTTCCTAACAGCTGTGTGGTTATGACAACTAACTTAGATGATGACACCTGTAACATGCTTAGTGCAGTGCCTGGCACTTGGTAGCTACTCAAGAAATAGAATAAATTGTGTTAAAATGGTGGGGCTTCATACTGATTTTGCTGTTGATGTTAACGGTAGTTATTCCTTCATTTCAACGTATACATTGAGCACCTATGATGTCCCCAGACATCATGCAATTCTAGGGACTATCGTTACAGCAGCAAATAAAATGGACCAAAATTTCAGCTCTCATGTTGCTTTACTCTTAATAGAAAGGGAAAGACACTAAACAATCACATCAGTGAAACATACGGTATGTCCAATGGTGATAGGTACTTAGGAGAGAGAGAAAGCAGGGAAGGTGCAGGAGTGCTGATGAGGGTGTCACACAGTTCTAAATAGGCTGATGGAGAAAGGCCTCTCAGAGAAGATGACATTTCTGCAGAAGTCAGAAGGAGGGGAGGGAGCGAGCCAAGTAGATATTTGGGAAAGAGCTTTCTAGACAGAGGGAGCAGCAGGTGCAAAGGCCCTGAGGTGGGTGCTGTGCCTGGCATGTTGGAAGAATGGCAAGATGGCCGTGTGGCTGGAGGGGAGGAGCAGAGGGGAAACCAGAAGGAATGAGATCAGATGGGATGGAGGCTGCCGCCTGCTTTCCAACCAGAGCTGAGGTCGAGGTGAGGATGACTTGCTAAGTGATAGGCCAGCCTAGCTGAAGCAGGGACTGTGGGGATGTGTCTCTTGGGGGCTCCACAGGTCTTGGTAACCCTTGCATGGAGTGGCTGCCTCTGATGCATCCTCATACAGCAGCCGAGGTCACTTTCTGAAACACAAGCTGAACATGCCACTCCCCTGCTTTAATCCATTCCATAGCTCCCCATTGCCCTTGGGATGGAGTTATGCAAGCCCCTTGGCCTGCCCTACAAGACGCTGCCTGGCCCCTGCTGGCTTCTCCAGCTTCATCCTCCAATCCCCACTCTGTCTCTAGCTTCAGCCTTGCTGAAGTTCTTGTGATTCTGCAACTCTGACTCACTCTCTCTCACCTCCAGGCATCCCCTCTCCCTGTCCTCCTCTCTGCCTTTGCCTTCCCAATTCCCGCTCTGCCTTCCAGTCTCACTGAATGTTACCTCCTCCAGGGAATCCTCCCAGACCTCCAGGCTCTGCTCCTGTGCTCCCTTGGCCCCCAAGCGTATCCCATTGTTAGAATTACTACGTTTTTACTCTCATTTTCTGTTTATTCTCTCTCGGGTATGAGCTCTTGGAAGAAAGGGACCACATCTCTTATTCATCAGGCATTCCCAGTGCCTGGCAGAATGCCAGGCTGTCGCATAAATGAAATGTGTGAGGGACTAGTGAGTGTATGAATGAAAACCAGCATGAGTTACCAGTAGACACCCACCAGATTAACACAAATCAAAGAACGTGACAGTACCAAGAGTCAGTGAGGATGTGGTACAATGGACATGTGCGTTTCCTCATGGGGGAAAAGAGTTTGGCTTTATTTGGTAAAGTTGAAGATGACTACATCCCATGACCCAGCAATTTCACTCCTCTATATCCATAGAGAACAAGTGCAAATGGGCACCTGGAGACCTGCGGCAACAAGGTTCAAAGCAGTCTCCTTCCCCATAGCCCCAAACTGGAAATAATGCCCGTGTCCACCACCACCAGAATAGACAATTATGGAATACTATACAGCAAAGAAAATGAATAAATTATAGCTACCAGCAACGTAAGTTCATAAACATAATTTTGAGAGGTAAAAAGCAAGACAAAAACACTTTGTATTGTATGATTCATCCCATTTACATAAGATTCAAAAATGGATGAAATTAGACTTCTGTCTGGTGATGCCTACATAGATGAACAGACTCAAAAGATGGCCATCACAAAAGCAGGTGGTGGGTAACTGAAGGGAGGAGTTGGGGAAGAGGCTATGATCAGAAAGGACATATTAGGGCTTCTGGGGTCCCGGCTGGTGGTCACAGGAGTGTTTGCTTTATAATTATTTGTTGAACCGAACATTTATATTTTATGTTCTTTTTGTGTGCTATAGTTCATGATAAGAAAGACAGAAAGAAAAAGAAAGGAAGGAGGAAAGGAAGGACGAGCAGGAAAGCAAACCTTCTGGGGACCCTGGCCTCCTCCTCTCTGCTCTGCCCCACCCCTTCCAGCTCAGAGCTCATTCAAAGCCTGGCACAAATGGGCAGAAGACTGGGTGGGGGTGCGTCCCACCATCCAACCTGTCTGCATGGGCCTTCAGGGGCTGGGGCTGGGCTGGGAGATTGGGCAGTGGGATGATTTCCATACCAGGCTCCCTGGCACCGGGAAGCCGGTTGGTGAGCTCAACCCACTCCGCTCTCTGTCTGAGCTGAGGCTGTAGGCCGCAATGATGCTGCGCTCTCAGCTAAGGGATTGGATTCCCTTATCTCTCGGGGGGTCAGTCCCCTGTGGCGGGGCCTAATGTGAGAGCAGCAGACCTTAAGTAATGACTCACCCGATAGGAATCAGCCCAGCTCCCCGCGGCATTTAGTCTCTGCCAGCTTTGGTGGCTTCCCTGTCGTGGCTCTCGGCCTGAGCCTGGGACAGAGGGGCTGGCTAGGCTGATAGGGAGCTGGGAGGCTGGGCCGGAGACATCCTCCAATCCCCGCTGTGCCAGCAGAGGCAGAGGGTGGAAAGGCCTCCTAATTCAGAAGCACAGAGTCCCGCTACCCAGGCTCAGAGGAGGAGGGAAATGCCTGTCACTCAGACTTAGTTTTTCTCTGCACAACCTCCATCTGTCTGGGGGCTAAGCAGCCTCTGCCTAGATCCCTGGGCGCCCCCTTTCTCCCCAGTACCTTCCCTTTGCAAGCCTAGGTCAGCGGCATGGGATTGTCCAACAAGTGGCTAGGGGAGTGGGCAGGGGCCAGTGAGGGCTTGGAGGATGGACAGAAGGGTGGATGGGTGGGGCTCCCCCTCTGCCGGAAGCAAGAGGAGGTCTGGGAAGGTGATGGCATGTTACTTGGCTCTGTGGGGCATCGACCAGCCCTGGGGTCTTCCTTAGTAGGAGGCATGGTTGGAGGAGGGCTGGGGGATAGCTGGTGGCTTGGGAGGACAGACAGACAGACAGGGGGAAGCCCTTCTTTTGGTGAGTAGTCTAAAGGGAAGCTGGGGTCGGCAGGTGGCTTGGATGGGCTAACAGACAGACACACAGACGTTCCTTCCTCTGGGAAGGCCTCACTCACTCTGCGGGAAACGGGGAGGGTTGTCATTGACGTCGGTGACTACGATGGTGACGGTAGTGGAGCCTGAGAGGCCACCCAGCTGACCCGCCATGTCTGTGGCCTGGATCACCACCTCGTAGCGCTCCTGGCTCTCGCGGTCAAGGTCAGGCACAGCCGTCCGGATTACACCTGTGGGTGAGTGAGAGTGAGGCCAGGATGCCCCACACCAGCTGCCCACTGATGTGGAGACCCCTGTACAGGTGGGATTCAGACCCCGTGACTCCTGGGGAAATTCAAGTTCAGGAGGAGAGTGGGCCACACAAGGACATCCATGTGGCCACCATGTGGGACAGGGTTCAGCAGCTTCCACACACACACACACACACACGCTCATACAGTTACAGATACACATGCCCACACAGATATACTCACACATGCTCACACACACAGTCACACAGATAGACTCACACACTTGCTCATACAGATGCAGATACTCACACATACACACATGCTCACACAGATGCACACACATGCTCATATACTCACATACACTCCTGCAGATACATTCACACAGGCTCACACAGAATAACACACACAGGCTTATGCAGATACATTCATAAACTCATACACATTCCTATAGATACACTCACAAACACACACTCATATACCCTACAGATCCAGTCATATGCTCACAGTCACACTCACAGACTCATACAGAATTGCATACAGGCCTATACAGATAACCCACACACTTACCTGCCCGTGCAGAAACGCACACGGGCTCAGATACACTCACACATCCATACAGACACACGTATACTCACACCTGGCCATACAGATGTGTTCTCATAAATAACTCATACTCACATACACACAAACACACAGAGACACTCTCAAATACACACTCAACGATCCACACACACGCATACTCTCAAATACATATCCTCCCACACAAACACACACACACAGACACACTGACATATACACATACACTCTCATACACACTTTAACACATACACACACTGAAATACATATGCTTTTTTTTTCTTTTTCTTTTTTCTTTCCTTTTTTTTTTTTTTTTTTTTTTAAACAGACTCTCACTTTGTTGCCCAGGCTGGAGTGCAGTCGTGCGATCTCAGCTCACTGCAACCTCCTTCTGGGTTCAAGCAACTCTCCAGCCTCAGCCTCCTGAGTAGCTGGGACTACAGGCGTGCACCACTATGACCGGCTAATTTTTGTATTTTTAGTAGAGACAGGGTTTTGCCGTGTTGGCCAAGCAGGTCTCGAACTCCTGGCCTCAAGTGATCTGCCTGCCTCGGTCTCCCAAAGTGCTGGGATTACAGGCATAAGCCACTGCACCTGGCCTCAAATACATCCAATTTCAAACACACTTGCTCATACACATTGCACATGCGTTATCTCTCACACAGACACAACACAAAAGCAACAGAATGGACTATTTGGTTTACTAAAAAGAGGACTGCAAGCTAGAACCTGCCACTGTGTGACTCCCCTGGGCAACTAATCCCACTTTTGGGGCCTCAGTTTCCCCACTTGACATTCTATGCATGAACCAGGTCTGCGTCAGTAACGCACAGCCCAGAGCCAGGCATGGAGCAGCAGCTTGGCGGGTGTGAACTGGACTCATGTCCACACTCATGTACACTCACTATGCTGTCACACTCACTTGTATACACACATGCAATGTAGTTCACACATTTGTAGAGTATGGGCATAAGAACACATACAAAGTCCCTTACACACGTGCACACTCATAGCTACCGTCACACACTCTTATTCACACCCTCCTCCCACAACCAAATTATCCCCCAGCCCTAGAGGCCCACCGCCACCCTCTCCAGGCCCTAGATCCTCTGTCCAGGCATCAGCTAATCGCTGAGCAGACAGTCTTCCAAGCTGCTATTGGAAGCGGGGAGGGGAGCAGGCGTGGGGGTGACCACAAGATTAATTCTGCTGTGGGGAAGACTGGGCTTCTTGTGTCCCTGCCGGTAGAAGCGACAAAGGTAGGGCGGGGGAGTCGATGAGACATTCAGAGCCTGTCCCACCACCCACTCCAACCTGCCGAGCACAGGTGGTGACAGGTGGTGCCTGGAGCCTGTGTGCCAGGTGGAGTCATGCACCAGCAGCCCCATGCTGCGCCCCATAAAACCCAAGCTCCGACACCTGACGTCCCCCAACAGTCCCCAGATTCCCATACAGGCAACAGAATGGAAGGAGAGGCTGTAGTGTGTGTGTGTATGTGTGTGTGTGTGTATTTCTGCGTGTACCTGTGGTAGGGTAGCCAGAGGTGGGGCGCCTAAGGGGTGGTCCCACTTTCATGGGATCACATGCAGATATGGAATGGGTATTCTGTCTAATCAAGGGTCACACAAACCCTCTATCAGTGGCCTTCTCAACTCCTCAGTAGACCCCCCCCGACCCCTTCTCTGCCACCATTGGTCTTCCCAGGAACAGGGGAGTCTTGGCAGTGGATTGCCTTGGGATAAATTCCAGATCTGCCATTTCTTTGGTCATGTGATTTTGAGCAAATCCTTTCACCTCTTTGAACCTCAGTGTCCTTATCTGTAGAATGGGACAACCACCATACTGACTTAAACAACAGGATTTCTCAAACTTGGCACTGCAGACATTTTGGGCAGAATAATTCTCTGTAGTGTGTGTGTGTGTGTGTGTGTGTGTGTGTGACCTGCACGTTGTAGGATATGTAGTAGCATCCTTGGCCTCCCACCACTAAATGCCAGCAGCACTAACTGTTGCCTTAGTTCCAAAACTGTCTCCAGACATTGTCAAATGGATCCTGGGGCAAGACTGGTTGAGAACCACTCGTACAGGATTTCATCTCATGAGAATTACATGTAATAAAAATTATTATTATTATTATTCTAAGCACCTTAGGTGAATTGCCTCATTTAATCCTCTCAATATTCATATGTGGAAGGTGCTGTGATTATACCCATTTTATAGATGAGGAGACAGAGGCATGGAGAGGCTAAGTACCTTGTTGAAGGTCACACGTGTAGAAAGTGCATAGCCAGGACACTGAGGCTTTGCAGCCCTGGACAGCAGGGGCTGTACAGGGAAGGTGGAGTGTATCATATTCTCCACCCCGGGGTGTTGGAAAGAGAGAACAGAAGGCAGACAGAGGGGAGGAAGAGAGCGAAGGTGATGGACAGGGAAGAGGAGAGAGAGAAGAAAAGGAGTCCCAGGGAAAGAGAGGCAGGGAGAAACCTCGTGAGAGGCAGGAGGAAGGAGACAAAGAAAAGGGAAGAGAGGAAGGTAGGGGAGGGGAACAGAGAGAGAGGGAGGCTGAAAGAGACAGAAAGAGAGAAGGGAAGATGGGGGGGTAGGGGGGGTAGATAAACCAGAGAGAAAGTCAGAGATACCCAGAAAGACAGTAAGAGAGAAACAGAGACCTGGAGAGAAACAAAGAGGAAGAGAAAGAAAGGAGGGAAGAAAAATGGGCAAAGAACAACTAAGAGAGCGGGAGCAGACATACAGAAAACTGAGAGGGAGATGCAGGAAGGGTGAAGAAAGATGGTGGGGGGTGGGGAGGGGAGGGCAGGTAGGCTTACAGTGCAGCAGCTGCCAGGCCAGGGAGCAGGGGGTCCCAGGTGGAAAGGTGGAGAGGGAGTGACTTTAGCTGAGCACCTGCTGTGTGCTAAGCTTTGTGCTGGTCACTTGCCATCAGGACCTCAGTGAATGTAGAGGATTCATGGTAGGATCTGGGGTCACTGTGCATCTATGGGCTTGGGCACCAAAGGCTCAGTGTCCCAGATCTGAGCAGGGGTTGGAGCAGGGGTCCGGCTCCACTTCTGTGAGTGAGAGAGGCTCCATGTGGCTGCCCTCTTTGCTGTCCCTGTCACTTCCAGCTCCTGAGGAACTGGGGACACAACACTCTTCTCACTTGGAAACTGGTCCTGAAGCCTTATAGCGTGTAGGATTCAGGTGCCATCTCTGGGTGTGTGTGAGTTGGGTCCCCAGAGGCCACACTGCCCCTGGGCCTTGTTCTCGGGATCCAGGGAACAGGGTCGGTTGCTATGGTGACAGTGCCCAGTGAACCACACCTTCCGGTATCCATGCCCTTGGGTCATTCCCTCCCACATTGACTCTGGCCAATGGGACATCAGCAAGTGTGCGCTGGCCAATAGGACATCAGCAAGTGCGACAAAAGCAGAGGTTTGATAAACCCCCGTATGCTGCGGCTTGTCCTCTTGGAATCCTGAGACCACTGTACTGTGAAGAAGCCCAGGATAAAAGGCCACATGGAGAGGGAGGCCTAGTCATGCCAGCTGTCCCAGCGAAGTCGCTCCCAGCGACCCGACAGCTGACTGTTGCTGCATGAGTGACCCCAGCAAAAGAACTGCCGAGCTGACACACCAAATTGTGACAAATAATAAATTATTGTTGCTTTAAGCTACCACGCTTTGGAGGTGGGGTTTTTTCTTTTTTTACGTAGCTCTAGATGACTGGTACAGAAATCCAGTTGGCTGGGCCATTCCTCTGCTGATTTTGTCTGGGCTCACTCACACAGCTGAGCCTAAACCGGAGGAGCAGCTGACTGGAAGGTCCAAGATGGCTCATTTACATGTCTGGCAGTTGGTCTTGGCTGTCGGTGGGGACACATTGGTTCTTTCATCCTCCAGTAGGCTGGCTTCCTTACATAGCAGTCTCAGGACTGTGTTCCAGGACAGTAAAAGTGAAAGCTGCAAGGTCTCTTAAGGCCTAATGTCAGAATTTGCATAACATGACTTCTGCCACATTCTATTGGCCAAAGTAGTCCCAGGTGAACCCAGGTTCAAAGGGTGGGGAAACAGACTCCACCTCTTGCCTGGAACAGTGGCAAAGTCACATTACTAAGAGGCCGTGTGCAGGGCAGGGAGGAATTGATAACATATTTTCCTATCTACTATGTTCTACTCCACTCTCTTCCTCCTGATGCTGGGAGAAGCACGGTGGAGACTATTGCCCTCTGAAAGATCTAGGGGTACAAAAATTCCAAATCAGTCCATGAAGTTGCTCTTGAAGCCTTCCAGCTCTTTGACTTCATCCATTCACTCATTCATTTGTTACAGTCTTGCTGAGGGCCTACTACACATGCCAGGGCTGCACAGAATCAGATAGGCTGCAGTGTGAAAAGGAGGACTCTGGGGCCAGACAGCTATAGGCTC